CTCGCAGGCTGCGGGGCTGGGGCGCCCCGGGCCGCGGGTCAGGCCTGGGCACACTTGGGTAAGCAGCGTCGTTGTGGCTTCGGCATATTAAATCCTTACGTGTGTCTTTCCCTCCCTCGTTCTGCCAGGCTGGAAAGTCGGTGCTGGCAAACTTTGTGTCGGAGAGCACCGAAGGGATCGGCAGGGGCAGCCCGACGCAGGGGGTCAGGTGAGCCGAGCCCTGCGGTGGCACCGCTGTCCCCGCTCAGCTCGTGTCCCATCGCTCTCCATCATTCCCGCAGGATCCTGGAGTATGAGAAGCCAAACCTGAACGGTGGCAGCAAGGGAACTGGGTGCCGGTTCGAGCTGTGGGACTGCAGTGGTGATCAAAAGTAAGCCAGCATCCTTCTTACTTCTGCAGGTCACTGAACTCATAATCGTGCTGTTCACACAAGGCCTGAAACACATGATCTGTTTGAGATGAGGAATATTCCTGAGTCTTTACCCCAGTGGATTTTGTATAGTTTCTACTGAAAAACATCTGACATGAGGTATTCTCTGCCATGGGTATAGCAGTAGAGTCCACAGCTCCTGGACTGGAGTTACAGGAGATAGAGGCCCACTCTCTAATTGCCTTCATCTCCTTGAAACTATTATGTGAATGGACTTCAAACAATGTGTGTATATGATTGAGGCCTAAATTCCAAAAGTTACAGTTGAGAACAGATCAAATCCATTTTTAGGGAAATGTTGAAATAAGTTTAAATAAGCATTTGACCAAATACTACACTGTCAGCAAATCATGGGACCAACTAACACAATATGTAACTCAACATAGCTGGAATATGATAGATCACTGGCAAGATTACTAATGTTATAATGAAAAAAAAGTACTTAAATTTGTTCTTGAGGAGGGAAGAAGAAAACTTGAGGAAGTTTGAGTGCATGTTTCTGTTTTCCAGCAATCAATCTTAACATTTTGTGTGCACCTCTTTTTCAAGGTTTGAGACATGCTGGCCAGCTCTGATGAAAGACTCTCATGGTGTAATAATAATCTTCAACCCTGAGCTGCCTAGTCACCTGAAAGAGATTGAAACCTGGTACTCCTGCTTTGTGCAGCAGCAGCCACTGCTTGACAGTCAGTGTCTCCTGGTGGCACATCACAAGCCAGGCAGTGCAGGGGACACAGAAAACCTGTCCTTGGGTAAGGAAATGGAAAACACCATCTGTAACTCTGTTTTTCACTTATCTATGTGTCTTTCAAATTGTTCATACCCTATAGCTTGCATTTTTTCTTTAAATCTGCCAATGAAAGAACACTAGAGTGCTTTGCAAGAAGAGTTTGAGTGGCTTCTCTAAGGTCACACACTGAGCATGCAGCTGAGCCAGGAACTGGAACTCCTGCCATATTTCCTCATGAGTAATAGTTTAGTTCTTATCTTGGATTTTTTTTGGTCCACTGACACTTTTTGAGGCCATTTAAGTCTGCTTTTTATCAATCAGAAGAATAGGAGCACTTTGAAACAAAAGGCTAATGATCTGCCTCTTAAAATTCCTAACAAGTACCTTATAGACTGCAGAATTGTGGCTGTTTATACCAATTGGAACACACACTCGCCCTGGGCAGCCTGTCCCAGTGTTCAAACAAACACATATTTGTAATAAGTATCAATACATGAATCCATATTTAATATAACTGCCTCATGTCATCTCACTTTGGTAGTAAAACTGCAGTTCAGTGCTAAATTTGTTTGATTTTGCCTAACTGAATGTGAGCCCAAAACCAGACTATAAGCTTTAATAGTAATAATAATAGATTTGGGAGAATTTAATCAGGTGATGAGTTGTGTTTGTGACACTGACAAGTTATGCTGCATTTCTTGTTCATGTGTCCCATGTTATCTGGGCTATCAGACACTGGGTACCACTGAATTCCAGCTGATTTCAACATGAGCTGTCCCATGACTTTGATTGTGAATATTTCAGTTATAAGAGGAATATACCTAATTATTTTTTATTTACTTCCAAAGCTTACCCACTGAACAAGTTAAAACTAATACATTCCAACTTAGAGGAAGATCCTGAAGATGTGCGGATGGAATTCATGAAGTACTTCAAAAGCATCATCACCTTCATCAATGAGAGCAGAGAGAGGGAAGAAATGTCAATTATTTCATAACATTAAAAAATACTGAACAGGGCAGAAGAAGGATTTTTTTCCCTCAGTAAGATATACTCACAGTGAGAATTTTCCAGCCTATAAACACTTCAGCCTATAAAGAAGTGCTGACATCAGATAAACTGTGGTGCACATCCAGGAATTTGTGTAGCTTTATAGCTGCACTTTGGCATCAGAGGTACAGGAAGGTATTGTTTACTATGTTAGTGTGGACCAAAAGATAAAGGTGTTGATCATCTCTTCAGAATCCTTTTGTGTAGAGATGCTCAGAAAAGAAAGCCTGACAGAACATAAGATTTGTGAGGTTCTGCTGAGGCATCTGAGTAGAGTGCTCATGCTGATTTGGAAGTCAGTACAAACTGATTGGAATAGAGATCTGAGAAGCAGTCATGGTGTGGAATCCACATTTTTATGTTCCAAGTTCTCCTTATCTCTCTGCCCAGCAGCTGAGGAGAGCACATTGCACATCTTTTGCCTTGGCAAGACAGGTTTTTCTTCTAGTCCAACAAAGTAAAGAGGTTGTTGGGGACTATGTTTAGGTCTCTCTGGGAGGAAAATAATTGAAATCTTAGTGTCAGTGCAACATTTTGACCTAGGTCAGGAGTTCCAGTAGAGAAAAAGATGCTCTGCATACTCCAGAGGAGGAAAAGCTGTGTTGAAACTTCTATAACTGTTCCCTGTTGCATTGAAATCAGTGGTTTCACAGATAATTTACTTTCTGATTTGTTTGGTTTGCACTCGTCCCTGTTCTCAGTGTGTTTTGCTGTGGAAGGCATTTTTTGTAACATATATTACTAAGGCAATAAAAACATTTTCAAATACATCCTTTCTGCTCTCAAAGGGAAAGTTAATTATGGGTTTGTGGAGCTCTTAGCAACTTGCTTAATTTTTAGTAAGGAAAACAGTGATAAACTTGTAGTACATTTGACACTACAACAAGAAACATTTACAGAAACTTGTCACTGACTCAAAAAGTCAAAGAAATGACAAATGAAAACCAGAAGTTTGACTCCATACTGATGATACATGCTTTTTTTCCTTCCCAGAAGATAACTTGAAGGTGAGAGGGACTGGGAGCAGGACCTGCAGAAATCCTGGAGAGGCATTTCACCTCGTACTGCAGCTCACCTGATGATGTGTGAGCTCAGTGGTCAGAACTCTCTGTGACTTAGTTTGGCACATTTTGTTCCACTGCACATTCATTCCATACAGTTGTTATTTGCAGCTGTGTTACAAGTGTACAAAACCAGCCTTGTCCTCACACCAACACTGTCTTTCAGTAAACATCCTTTACAAAGAGTACAGGAAGTACCTGATGCATTATAGTTCAGACAACAGGAGTGAGAGCTTCTTGGGATTTTCAGTGATCCAAGTTCATTAACCTACTATTTTTCCTATTTTCATAGCTCTTTCCTGAGTAATGAGCAGCCTGTCCTTGTGCAAGTGGGAGGTGAGGTGAAAGATTAAAAGATCTTTGAACAGTTTCAAGTTGTGAAACTTATGGATACAAATAACACACCAAAACATCCTGGGCTAGTCTCAAGTTTAGAGAATTCCTGTTGCAATGGTTTGCTTAGGTGGATCCCAGGTGTGTGAAGTTGTGTGCACACACAACCTGCACAGTTCTGCTTTGGGTGCTTGGTGTGCTCACCCAACCTCCTGCCTCAGTTTCTTTTCATTGTCTGTTCTGCCATTAAAGCTAAAAGCTCCACGTGGTTCTGGGAGGCACAGAGGGGTTGGTACTGAAGGAAAACATCAGTAAGAGGAAGGACACTAGGAAAGAGAAAAGCAAGAGAAGCAGTGAGAAAAGAAAAAGTTGGAGGTGAATAGTGGGAGGTTGGCACTTCAACATCTACATTTTATTTATATGACTTTTGATCAATCAGCCTTTTCTGTGCTTGCAATCAGTGTCATAGGGTGGTCTGTTGGAGGGAGTTATTGGAAAATTCCCAGTCTAACTAGAGAGCAGGTTTTTACATGCTGCCTTAGATTACTTTTTCCTTGTTGCCAGCTGTGTGGTGCTGCAGCCAATTTTTAAAATATACTGGCTTAATAAATTCAGTTTTTCCCAACAGCAACATTGTGATATGCACTGGTAAAAGGCTGGTGTGAAACCCACCAAATATTTTATTTGGAATGTAAAACTGTGTTTGGATGATTCCAGGGTTGAAGAGTCAATGAACTCTCCTGTTCACCGCCTTGCTTCACATAAAACATCAATCATGATCTTACTTTAAACTCAAAAATAGGCTCTAAGTTCATAGAATCATAGGATTTAAGGGTTGGAATGGACCTTACGGATCATCTAGTCCCAGCCCTCCCTGCCCTGGGCAGGGACACCTCCTCACTTGATCAGGTTGCACAAGGTTTCATCCAACCAGGTATCTGTAGACTGCAACACACTGTTCATTAGAGAAGACAAACAGTGGTAGACAGAACCAAAGGCAGATTCCTAGACTTGAATTTGTATCATCCAGAAATGCCATAATATGCAATAAGTGTGGAACATCATTCATAAAATCTGGCCAAGAGATTAATTTCTGTCACTGCTGAAGAACAGAGTAAATGCACAGACTCATGCAAAATTAATCCTTAGTACTGGAGAAGAGACAGAGAAAGTGTTTATTCAGAAGTATCCTTTGTTAATGATTTATGAAACAGGTCATCAGAGACACCCAGTTAGAAGGTAGAAGAATGCCAGATGCACAGTTAGGTCTCTGTCTCTGCCCTTTCCAACCTGCCTTTCTTGTGCTATCAGCGAGTGCAGAGCCTCTAACAATGCCTCAGTCTGGTGTTGCTCACACTGGGGGTGTGCAGCTGTATTTGTTTGCCTGAAGCCATGTGCTTGGTAAGTGACTGTTCTGTGCTCTGTCCATACTTCTGCTTGTGAGACCAAAGAATTGCCCAGGCTAGGGCAAAGGAAACTCAGAGTATGAGGCAATCAGCCACAAGTTGCAGGAAGTCAGCTGGCAAGCCACAGCTTAGCTGGGAGCAGGAACAACTTAGGAGCAGAAGAGAACAGCAAATTTGCAGCACAAGCAATCCATTTTACTCTTCCATGCTGAGGGCTTTGCCACCATGCTTGTAAGTTTGGAATGGCTTTTTGGATGGCCTTCCCAAGAAGTGGAAGGGAAGGCAGAGAAGCAGTGAAGTGTGTCAACTCCTTCAAACACATGTAGCCTCCTCTAGTGTCCTCAGTCCCTTAGAGTGAACAGGTCATGTCCCTTACTCACCCTGTCAGCAGCCACACACTCAAAACCCTTCTTATATTAATCGTGCACAAACTGGGAGTCTGATTTCCCTGTCCCTTTCTGTGGATCCTTGTCCATAGTGGAACTCAGTGGCTATTTGTCCCAGTGGCTTTTCTGTGTTCACCTGCCCTGTCATGGTTTGGGGCACTGAGGCTGGAACCAGGGGCATGGAACATTTTAAATATTAATCAATTCAAATACATTCAGCCTCCACAGTGCAGAATCCAAAGACTCCAGGATATGTCAAGTGTGCAGTGAGAAGTTTTCTTCCTGTATAGCTACAGAAAGCTTTATAGCTATTGGTGAGCTCTACTCAAGTTCACACTCATCTCCCACAAAAGCAGTTGGTACATCACTGCTTTGGACAGTTGACCTGTCTGGACAAAGTCTCAGCATGGAAATTGATAGGGAGCAGTCAGAATCAGAGCCCTGCAGGGCTAGAATTGCAGAATTTTAAGACTTCAGGGTTATTATGTATAAAGTAAAAGACTGTGGCTACCTTGCAGACTGGTTATTTAAGTAATCTAAGCTCTGCAATTATAAAGAGTTTGCTCAGGTTGCCTCTTCCAAGCTCTTTTGTGCACACACAGAACATTATGAAGCCAGTAACTACTTACGATGTTGAGAACAGTTACAGGCAGTGCAACCCAGATGTGTGACTTGTTTACAACTAAACTTTGGGAGCTGCAGCAAAGCTGAATGAAATACATTTGGACCTTACCAAAAAAATGCAGTTTTCTTTTCAAGTCATATATTTTGAAGGCCAGGCCTTTGGTCTCAGTTGCTCTCAGCAGTATTGTTCTAATGGACACAATAGACATAAGAAATCCCATGTTCCTATTTCTATTATTGTCCTGCCAAGTGACTAAAGGGAGTCATGTAGGCCACCACATTGAGGAGTGCCCAGCCATGCTGTGGTTTTGCATGCTCAGTTTGAAATATGGAGGGTGCTGACATGCAGATGCTTTAGGAAGCAACTTCTAGAAGGTATCCAGGAGCTCTTAAAATCAGACCTTAAACGACACAACTTTTCAACAGGAGTACTTTGCTCTGGAGGTCACTTGTAATTCCTCTTACCACTTCTCCAGAAGTCTTCACTGATGCAACACTTCCATGGGGCAGCAAAGATTCCCCAAAAGAGCAGTTTTCTTTGGTGAGAAGTTGTCTTCCCCAAGATGCTAGAAAGACTCCGACAGTAACTCGCACATCTCTAGTCAGTGTTCTTCATGCACACACACCCAGCAGTGAACACAACATATCACATGTGCAGAAAACAGGCCTGTTGTCACTTTCAGGTGTGTATTTTTGCACTGATCCATGTTATTTACTTGGGACAAGATTCCTTCTTGAGTGACTGAGGTTTACACAATTAGATACCTTGGAAAGGCATCTGCTTACAACCTGCTGAGAATTCATCCTCCTAAAATCAGTTCCTCACAACAACAGTATCTGAAACCTCTTTCCTGGTGCATCACCAGTATGATGGACCTGGCTCATGCAAGTGGTTACAGGTTTGGCTACCCATGCTCAGAAAGCTACACTGAAACAGGAAAAGGCCACTGGATCAGGAAAAGGCCACTGAATGGCTGAAGAAGAAGGAACAATTGCATGAGAAGTGTTTGTTTTTTCACTCTAGCAGCACAGAGACAGAGAGGGCACATGCTTGATTTCTGCAAATGCATCACAAAGAAAGGAAATGGTCTGTATTTACTTAGACATAAGATAACAGGAGCAATCATCTGAGCAGGGATGCTGCAGCTAAAGGACCATTCTGCCTAAGGTACACAAACCTAAATATAGAGCACTCTCAACATCTGCTCCTTTTGCTTATTCTCCCCCCACTCTTGAATT